TGCATAGATAGCGACGGCGGGGCAAGGCAGACTCCAGGCTATCGGAATGCTTTCGTATCGTATCGTATCGTATCCTCCTCCTCCTCCTCCTCCTCCTCCTCCTCCTCCTCCTCCTCCTCCTCCTCCTCCTACTAATACTACTCCTCAACTTGCTTTGTCCGTCTGGATCCTCGTCATCATCGTTTTCTTCTCCTCCTCGTCCACCTCCCCACGAAATCCCCATCAACCCTCCTTCACCTCCTGCTCCGTTTGGTGTTGATGCGGTTCCCCGCCCTCATCCACCTCCTCCTTTTCTGTTTAGTTTTGTCTACGTGGCCACTCTTGCATAATCCTCAATGGTCACACTCCAATTAATCAAATTGTTCGTTCCTCATTGTCCGTCTCTTCATTTTCTTCCTATTCTAACGATATACGCAGAGCGTACGCATATGATCGGACATATTGTTGGCATGTCAAGGGCACACTTGATGCCGATCACAAATGCGGAAAGTGCGCCAGTGGATCCCCCCGTAATTCAAAAGGGCGGGGGGGCGTTGCTCGCAGAACCCCCCCCTTCAAAGGAGCGAGGGGTTTGTTCTCCGGGAAGTGGGTTGGTTCCCCGCGAAAGGGGTGTGTTCTCCGGGTAGACTTCTGGATCCTGATGGGACTCTGATGCTTCTGGCAGTGGAGCTGGTTCTCCGGGCGAAACCACATTATGGATCGTCAACATTCAATCGAACTTCGATTTCTCAAACCTGCAGGCGATCCATAAAAACTCGCCCAGAATTTCGCACCACCCTCGCCCCGGCTACCCGCATAACCAACTCTTCGTGATTTTTTCCCAACCATCCTGTGGTGTTGGGTCCTCGTTTTGAAGAAACGGTCCCCGCGTTCCTCCTTCTCCTCCTCCTCCTCCTTCTCCTCGCCCTCCTCCCTCCTGCGTTCGCATGCCTCCCCACCACCAATTTCGGCACACCCCTCACACGTTTCGTGGCCCCATAGGCAGCTCCACCGAAGGCCCCAGTGGCTGCGTTCGCATGCCTCCCCACCACCCATTTCGGCACACCCCTCACACGTTTCGTGGCCCCATAGGGAGCTCCACCGAAGGCCCCAGTGGCTGCGTTCGCATGCCTCCCCACCACCGATTTCGGCACACCCCTCACACGTTTCGTGGCCCCATAGGGAGCTCCACCGAAGGCCCCAGTGGCTGCGTTCGCATGCCTCCCCACCACCATTTCGGCACACCCCTCACACGTTTCGTGGCCCCATAGGGAGCTCCACCGAAGGCCCCAGTGGCTGCGTTCGCATGCCTCCCCACCACCCATTTCGGCACACCCCTCACACGTTTCGTGGCCCCATAGGGAGCTCCACCGAAGGCCCCAGTGGCTGCGTTCGCATGCCTCCCCACCACCCATTTCGGCACACCCCTCACACGTTTCGTGGCCCCATAGGGAGCTCCACCGAAGGCCCCAGTGGCTGCGTTCGCATGCCTCCCCACCACCCATTTCGGCACACCCCTCACACGTTTCGTGGCCCCATAGGGAGCTCCACCGAAGGCCCCAGTGGCTGCGTTCGCATGCCTCCCCACCACACATTTCGGCACACCCCTCACACGTTTCGTGTCCCCATAGGGAGCTCCACCGAAGGCCCCAATGGCAGGGTCCGCATGCCTCCCCACCACGCATTTCAGGCACACCCCTGACACGTTCGTGGCCCCATAGGGAGCTCCACCGGAAGGCCCCGTTGGCAGGGTTTCGCATGCCTCCCCCACCCATGTCGGCACACCCCTCACACAATTTCGTGGCCCTCGTGGCTCCATAAGAGAGCTCCACTGGAAGTCCCCAATGGCTGCGTTGGCAATGCTCCCCAACAAACATTTCGGCACACCCCTCACAACGTTTCGGCCCCACAGGCGCTCCAAACCGAAGGCCCCAATGGCAGGGTTCGCATGCCTCCACACCACCCATTTCGGCACACCCCTCACATGTTTCGTGGCCCCATAGGGAGCTCCACCGAAGGCCCCAATGGCAGGGTTCGCATGCCTCCCCACCACCCATTTCGGCACACCCCTCACACGTTTCGTGGCCCGATCGGGAGCTCCACCGAAGGCCCCAGTGGCAGGGTTTGCATGCTTCCCCACCACCCATTTCGGCACACCCCTCACACGTTTCGTGGCCCCATAGGGAGCACCACCGAAGGCCCCAGTGGCAGGGTTCGCATGCCTCCCCACCACCCATTTCGGCACACCCCTCACACGTTTCGTGGCCCCATAGGGAGATCCACCGAAGACGGTACTCACACCAGCATTACTCACAACTGCATATGGTTGGGTCCTTCGCCAAACTAATTGGTATACATGTGACGAATCAGTTGTCGTAGTAATTCCAGGAGTAGCACTAGTCTCAGTAGTAGTCGTCGTCGTCGTCGTCGTCGTC